GACAACAACACGAGAGGAAGGCAATAATGACTTATTTTTGAAGAACTGAAGGTGTCACCAGGTTGTCATGTTGACGACATGACATTGTGTCAACAACACGAGAGGAAGGCAATAATGACTTATTTTTGAAGAACTGAAGGTGTCACCAGGTCACCATGTGTCACCAGGTCATTTAACTTCTCTGAAAAAATGTGACAACATGACATTTTGACAACAACACGAGAGGAAGGTAGTTATGACTTATTTTTGAAGAACTGAAGGTGTCACCAGGTTGTCATGTTGACGACATGACATTGTGTCAACAACACGAGAGGAAGGCAATAATGACTTATTTTTGAAGAACTGAAGGTGTCACCAGGTCACCATGTGTCACCAGGTCATTTAACTTCTCTGAAAAAATGTGACAACATGACATTTTGACAACAACACGAGAGGAAGGTAGTTATGACTTATTTTTGAAGAACTGAAGGTGTCACCAGGTCACCATGTTGACGACATGACATTGTGTCAACAACACGAGAGGAAGGCAATAATGAATTATTTTTGAAGAACTGAAGGTGTCACCAGGTCACCATGTGTCACCAGGTCATTTAACTTCTCTGAAAAAATGTGACAACATGACATTTTGACAACAACACGAGAGGAAGGTAGTTATGACTTATTTTTGAAGAACTGAAGGTGTCACCAGGTTGTCATGTTGACGACATGACATTGTGTCAACAACACAGGAGGAAGGCAATAATGACTTATTTTTGAAGAACTGAAGGTGTCACCAGGTCACCATGTGTCACCAGGTCATTTAACTTCTTTAAAAAATAGTGACAACATGACATTTTGACAACAACACGAGAGGAAGGCAAAAATAAATTCCAATCATACTTTATAAAGCATCATTTACAGGTATTTCATCGTCAGTAAATGAATCCTCATTATCGTTTAGTTCAACCTGTTTATATAATCCTTTCATTTCTTCTTTCAAAACATAACACCATGTTTGTTTACCATCTATTCTTATCTGTTTCCTATCACATTTATCCTTAATACTCATTTGAAAGTTTTTGTCTTTCATGTCTGATGGTTTGCAGAATAGAGCATTTTTACACATCATACCTGCACACAATTCATCATAATGTGTATTTATCCATACATCTAAAGGATTTGTTGATAATTCAATTAAATCTTGTTTGGCTTCAGTCATCGGAATGATTCGTACATTAAATGATGAAAGGTCATATTGCATAAAATATGTTAAAAGGTTATCATAAAATTCCTTTGTGCATGAATCCATTAAATTCTTGAAGTAATCAAATTGACCCTTGAATTTACCATTAACTCTTAAAACTACATATCTTCTGTCTCCAACTTCAATTTTGACAGGGTAAACGTTATTAGTTACCAAAATGAAGTTTGCAACGTTCTGAGCAGTTCTTCTGGGTTGATTCTTTTCATTAATTCTAATCTCATTATCCGTTATAATTGATTTCAAAGCGTTGAAGTTTGCGAGTCTGTCTTCACCAACATTCTTGAGTTCATTAAGTACAAGAAACATTTTATTTTCAACTACTGAGTTGAAATTACCCGTTAACTCACTTATTTCAGTAATGTTTTTACATGAATAACCAGCGAGAAGTTCAGAAATAATGTCTGTAAATCTGTTTTTACCTGTTCCCTGAAGTCCTTTCAAAATAATTGCTGTTTCATTCTTGATTCCAGGATGTTGAATCATTGATGCAATCCAGCCGAGTAGGTATTTATACACTTCATCGTTATTATCACAAATGGCTTCTTTAATGAAATCCATAAACATCTCAATTTTTGAGTAATCAAGCTTTTCAAGAATGTTGTATTTATAACCTTGAAACGTTGAGAAAACATCTGGGGAATCAGATTTAAAGCAAACACCCTTAACGGTTAATGAAGACAATTGATTTAGTAGTACGTCCCATGCTGTTATTGTTTTACCTTCTTCATTAAATAATTTAATCATTTTGAGTGACTCTTTCATGTTTGACTGAAGAACAAATGATATTTGATTCATTTTGTCGTGGATATTATAGTCCTTTTGAATGAAATATTTGTTTCCACAATCTACAAAACGGATTACACGTGATAAATCCTCAATTACTTCAGAACTGTTTTTATACTGATGATTTTCAGCCTTGCGTCTAATATCTGTTATCAAAAACGAGTCATCAAGTTTTATATCAAATGTTATTTTTGGCTTACGTAATAAAGGCAAAACATATTCATCATAATATTCCTTTTGATATAGTTTTAGAATCTTTACCAAAACAAATGGAGAAGTCATTAAATGTGCATATCTATCACGTGCTTTTTCAAAATTACTTTTTGCATTTTCTGTTAAATTGCAGAAGTTATAAACGTTATCGTATGCTTCATTAATCAAATGATTAGGTAACGAATTAATAGCTTGAAACAGTGTGAATAATGTAACTTCTTTTTCTAAATTCATGTTTCCACCGTCATTATGTACTTCAAAATCACAGATGCCATCAACTATGCTCTGGGCAAGTTTATCGTCAATGTTTACATCTTTGTTTTCATTCATGATAGTCTTTATTTCTTCATTCTTCTGTTCAACTCTTACCTTAATATTCAAATCATTTAATATATCATTCACTGTTCTAGTTAATGTTGAATCATAACTTCCACGAATGAATGAGTATGTATTGATTGGTTCTGTTGCATTCTTGCGAACTCTTGAATCAGCCATAACCACTAATGAACGCTTTGAATCATCCATAGAAGTCATTATGTCAATATCATAATCATTGCAGGAATAACATTTAATCATTCTGTTCGAGGTTGAATAGAAGAAATTAGTGTTGCAATAAATGTGAAGACCTCCTGAAGCGGTTTTAACGATAACATCTTTATCCGAAAGTTTTGATAAAATGTCTTTTCTAACTGTTTCTTTAAGTTCATCATTGTATGATTTATTGATATCAACATCTATAATCGTTAAATTCGAAATTTTATTTACTAATAAAGCTGTACCAGTTTTCCTTCCTCTTCCTCCATCATATTTGAGGTAGTTATGTAAATCAATCTTGTTTTCATTAATTCTTTCGTTGAGGGTTTTAGTTTCTGCCACAACTAATTCCTCAACTAATGAATCAATAACTTTTTCATCAGAAACGATAAAGTTGTTGTTGTTGTTTGTTGCTGTCATTTATATAGGAATAAAAAAATAAAAATAATTTTAAAACTAACCTTATTTTTGGGCTGCATCATATTTCCGTCACTGTTGTCAAAATGTCATGTTGTCACTATTTTTTAAAGAAGTTAAATGACCTGGTGACACATGGTGACCTGGTGACACCTTCAGTTCTTCAAAAATAAGTCATTATTGCCTTCCTCCTGTGTTGTTGACACAATGTCATGTCGTCAACATGACAACCTGGTGACACCTTCAGTTCTTCAAAAATAAGTCATAACTACCTTCCTCTCGTGTTGTTGTCAAAATGTCATGTTGTCACTATTTTTTAAAGAAGTTAAATGACCTGGTGACACATGGTGACCTGGTGACACCTTCAGTTCTTCAAAAATAAGTCATTATTGCCTTCCTCTCGTGTTGTTGACACAATGTCATGTCGTCAACATGGTGACCTGGTGACACCTTCAGTTCTTCAAAAATAAGTCATAACTACCTTCCTCTCGTGTTGTTGTCAAAATGTCATGTTGTCACTATTTTTTAAAGAAGTTAAATGACCTGGTGACACATGGTGACCTGGTGACACCTTCAGTTCTTCAAAAATAATTCATTATTGCCTTCCTCTCGTGTTGTTGACACAATGTCATGTCGTCAACATGGTGACCTGGTGACACCTTCAGTTCTTCAAAAATAAGTCATAACTACCTTCCTCTCGTGTTGTTGTCAAAATGTCATGTTGTCACATTTTTTCAGAGAAGTTAAATGACCTGGTGACACATGGTGACCTGGTGACACCTTCAGTTCTTCAAAAATAATTCATTATTGCCTTCCTCTCGTGTTGTTGACACAATGTCATGTCGTCAACATGGTGACCTGGTGACACCTTCAGTTCTTCAAAAATAAGTCATAACTACCTTCCTCTCGTGTTGTTGTCAAAATGTCATGTTGTCACTATTTTTTAAAGAAGTTAAATGACCTGGTGACACATGGTGACCTGGTGACACCTTCAGTTCTTCAAAAATAATTCATTATTGCCTTCCTCTCGTGTTGTTGACACAATGTCATGTCGTCAACATGGTGACCTGGTGACACCTTCAGTTCTTCAAAAATAAGTCATAACTACCTTCCTCTCGTGTTGTTGTCAAAATGTCATGTTGTCACATTTTTTCAGAGAAGTTAAATGACCTGGTGACACATGGTGACCTGGTGACACCTTCAGTTCTTCAAAAATAATTCATTATTGCCTTCCTCTCGTGTTGTTGACACAATGTCATGTCGTCAACATGGTGACCTGGTGACACCTTCAGTTCTTCAAAAATAAGTCATAACTACCTTCCTCTCGTGTTGTTGTCAAAATGTCATGTTGTCACTATTTTTTAAAGAAGTTAAATGACCTGGTGACACATGGTGACCTGGTGACACCTTCAGTTCTTCAAAAATAAGTCATTATTGCCTTCCTCCTGTGTTGTTGACACAATGTCATGTCGTCAACATGACAACCTGGTGACACCTTCAGTTCTTCAAAAATAAGTCATAACTACCTTCCTCTCGTGTTGTTGTCAAAATGTCATGTTGTCACTATTTTTTAAAGAAGTTAAATGACCTGGTGACACATGGTGACCTGGTGACACCTTCAGTTCTTCAAAAATAAGTCATTATTGCCTTCCTCCTGTGTTGTTGACACAATGTCATGTCGTCTCATTTTTTAAAGAAGTTAAATGACCTGGTGACACATGGTGACCCCCCCTCATTTATTCAAAAATTCTGTAATTTCATTACTGAGGTATGCTGAATTGGAGCTCGGGACTTTCAATCCGTCCGAAACCATGCATAAACTGTCATATAAGGCGGCATGTAATCTTTACTCTGTCCCGTCGTTTGTGTATATCCTGAAACATTATGTGTATGATTACCTGAACCCTGTGTATCGTTCCAGTAACAATTAATAGCAAATTTAACGTCATCTTTAACATCATATCCTTTACCTTTTGTCATTCCTGACCAATCCCAATATCTATGCTTATGCCATCCTGCTTCGGTTGTGTTTAAATTAACGTAATGACTATGAGCAGGTAAATTTTCACCCGTAATTGTTTTACTTCCACCGGTTTGTTTTGATGAGTTTGTACAATATAAAAAACGATCGGTTATCTGCTGCCATGTACCAAATCCAAATAATGTTGATGGATTTGTTGAATTCATTGATGTATATATTGAACCAATGGGGTAAATCATCTCAAACATTGTATTTAATTTAGTATTAACCCATTCCTTATCTGCTTTCTTCTTTAACTCAGTATTAACCCATTCCTTATCTGCTTTCTTCTCTAATTTAGTATTCACCCATTCCTTATCTGCTTTCTTCTCTAATTTAGTATTCACCCATTCCTTATCTGCTTTCTTCTTTAACTCAGTATTAACCCATTCCTTATCTGCTTTCTTCTTTAACTCAGTATTAACCCATTCCTTATCTGCTTTCTTCTTTAATCCATTATGAATATTGAATTTATTATATAATATTGAAATCGTGTAAGAAGTTAAAATTGGTATTGTCATCAATATTAACATATTATTTTTGAAAATTGCTTTTTTAACATCTTGAAATTTTGTGATTTCAGACCAATTTTTTCCATCACTACTGATATTTACTAAATCACCACATCCAAAAGCAATGAAATACCCATCAATATAAAATAAATTAGTAAATCTATAATTTCGAGTAAATTTTGGAGTGAATGAATAAACCAATTCCCAACTTGGTGTTTTCTCTGGATCCTGTGAAAAATCTTGTGATAAATAAATATGTCTGTTATAACTTACAGGATATGAATACACCATACTACCTGAAACAAGAACACAAACATTTGAAGCATAACATAAAGCTTCAATGTCTCCATCAGCTTGAAAAATTTGTTCAAAACGACCAAATGGTATTGAATATGATCTATAAATTTTATCATTTTGTAGGATAAAACACATGTTGTTAATGTAATACCATTTACTTGTATAATCAATTTTCAAATCTGATGACATCATACTAAACATATAATAATTTATCCCATCCTCACTAATGAAAATTTGATTGACTTCATAAATTAGTACCCATTTATTATTAACACATCTAATAGGATTATTTGGATATTTAAATTTAACATCTTGATTTAAATTACATTTGAACCATTGGATACAATCGAATGAATAACAAGGGCAAAAATCATCTCCAACCGTTATCATTCCCATAAATTTGCCGTTATTATATTCAACATAAAAAATTCTTGGATTAATGATTGGCTCTCGTGTATCAGGATTCAAAACGGATGGAGTAAATGATTCATAGTTTTTAAAATCATTTGTTTTAAAATAATAAAGCACTCCGCCTGTATAAAATAAATACATGGTCACTCCATCGAAACATAACCATTCAATATCTTCAAATGTTTTATCTGATGATTTCATAAAATTTAAAAATGGTGGGGTAAAATAGACCTCCGATTGTTTTATTTCTTCATTAACAAATGATATATCAGCTTTCTTTGCTAACTCAGTATCAACGTATTCCTTATCTGCCTTCTTATTTAACTCATCGTTAACATAAGTTTTATCCGCTTTAAGGTCTAAACATCCTGAAACCCACCCTGTATTGGCTTTAGTTTCTAAAATCTTCGATGTCCGTTCATGGTACCATTCAACCCTTTTTATAATTTCATTGTCTTTTTCATCCACATATTCCTTATATGCCTTCTTCACTAACGCACTAGCCACATATGCTAACTCATCGTCAACATATTCCTTATCTGCCTTCTTCATTATGTCATTTAGGAAACCTTTTATGAATTCCTCATTTAAATTAAATCTTCCAATCTTCAAAACTTTAGGAAATGCATTTAATGCGTAATATCTCTGTTCTTCTGGTGGAATTGATGTTATATCATCCGTTATACCTTTAATTTTTGAATTCATAAATAAAATTTCTTTTATATTTGATATCACCGCACCACCTTTGCAAACGAATTCAAAATGGTCATTTTTCAATACTATCTCCAAATCTCCATATTTCAACCTTTGCGTTTGTTCTGCCGTCTTTGAATTATATGCATATGTGGCGTATGTAATGGTCTGTGGTTGCTGTTGTTTAATCATTTATTACGATTTAAAAATAAATATTTAATCCGTTATCTCATCAGCTATTTTTTCTATTTGAAATTGCCATAATATTTCATTCATGAATTCTAAATCACAATCAAATAGGTCAGTTATTCTAAATTTAATATTTGATAAATCTTTTGAATGAAGAATAAATGAATTCCCGGATAATTGAAATGGATATGATAAAGAAAATATGTTTAAGTTGATGGATAAAATGTTTTGTATTGATGGGTAAGAGTTAGGGTCTAATGTTTGATGTGAAAATCTCATTGGGGTATTAACTTTATCACATTTGATTAAAATGAAATTGGAACCAGTGTCAGAATACAAAACATCCCCAGCATCTTTTTCAAAATTTAATATCCCCAACAATGAACGAAGACGAGGAGTACAAAATTTAATTTTCAGCGGAAATTTAATAAGGTTATTTATTTCATCAAGTTCAAAAAGTTTATCGGGTTTTGATTTAAAATTTTCTTCATACCATACGATAAATGATTCATTTAAATAACTTAAAATTGTGTTAATATCCCCCCTCACTATCACATTATTTATATACATATCATACGTTTTTTCATGGTCATCTTTAATAAATGATATATAATCCGAAGGGTCTAAAAGAATGGGATTAAATTTACCACTCACAGAAACGAGAGTAACATTATAAATTCCACTAACTGTTAAATTTAATTCACAGTTATTATTCGAAATAATATTGATAATTGACATTTTTTATTACGATTAAAAATATGGTAAAGCGTTATTTTCCAGTGATAAATAAAACTAGAATAAGATTACCTCAAGAATTCATAAATTCAACGAATAAGAAATTCATTCATGTTATAAATTTTAGTGTTTTCAGAAAATATGAGTCGATGTCATATTCATCATCAGGTTATATTTCACTTCATTCAAATTTAGTTCAATCAAACCCATATAATGACCATTTCATAAGATTTTCAGATGGTATTAAAAATGTAATTGATAGATTAAAATATGAACAGATTGACAATATCGAATTTTTGGAATTTTGGTTTAAATATCCCGATGGAAAAAAGATTGAAGTTAAAGATAAAGCAGATACTATAACAAAAACAATTACAATGACTGATCCGGATAGTGGGGAACAAAAAGAAATAAAACAAACGATAGAAACTGGTGAAAGGTCAATTATTATGATTATGATTCAAAGGATTATTATTCGATAATGTTAATGCTTGAATATTAAATAGCCTTAACAAAGAATTTTTCAAGTGATATTTTATATTCATCAACTATTTTATTATAAATATCATTATATGTTAAATGAAGTTCAGTTGTTGTTCCGTTCTTTGATATCTTAATTGTGCTAATATCCTTTATAGGATTTATTTTTGCAACTGTTCCGCAGCATGAAACCTCATCATCTATGAAAAATTGAATCTTCACGTCTGAATCTTGAACATCACAAAGAATGGCGATAATGTGAATTAATGATTCATAAGGTAAAATAATTAAACCGGATTGGTCAATTAAATTTATTATTGAATCATAATTATCAGTTATGATATCGCGATATATTTTCATTAATTCAGAATTAATGTCTATTTTATATGGGTTATCAAGTGGTGCTGGGTATGTTGGATAAGTGGGAATTTCAACAGGTTCTTTACCTGGTTCAGCTAAAATGATTGGGTCTCCATCTTCTTTATTTTGCTCCTCCTTTTTCGGTAAGTCACGAGTTAATAAATTTGGTTGAGTTGCTGACCTTGTTAATTCAGGACTAACATTAACTTTAACATTTTGAATAATTCGTGATTTATCATCATTTACATTATAACCAACCGTAATCTCTGCTTTTGCGTTTGTGTTCTTTTGACTTGTGAAACGTCTTCTCATTTATAATTGAAAAAAAAGAAAAATATATTTAAAGTTTTATTTAGTTGTTACGGTAATATCCCAAGGTTCATCCTTGTTTGCTTATACTTTCTTTGTAACTGCACCAATTATGTTATTGATAATGGTTTGAGTTTCTTCCAGTCTTATTTTATCATTTACAATATCTTTAATCATTTCATTACATGCATTCTTAAAACCATCCGATTTTTCTAATTTACGTCTATCACTTTCTTTAATTAAATCAAAGTTATAACCTTGTTGAGAATAAAGTGGTTTCTTTATCAATTCCTTGAACGCTTCTGAAAGTGAAGATGAAGAAATTCTTGCCACTTGAATTGGTTTAAATTCTGCTTTCATTGCTTCTTTCTGTTCATTGAACACTGGATCGAATAAAGCAACTTTAAAGAATTTCTTAGCTGGAATTTCAGGTCTCAAATTTGCATATTGACCATCAAACTGATTAACATATCGTGGTAATCCATCCGGTCCCTCTTCAATAGCGTTTAATTCTTCATTGAAATAAGAATATGGATTATGACGGTATGAAGAATTGGTCCATCACTGTCTCCGTATTGTTTAACAGCTTTTCCATTTTCATCAAATTGCAAGGATAACGTTCATTATATGCTTTACGTTTAGGATAATCCGTCATTGTTAATTTATACCCATTTATGACTTTAATATTTCCTTGACCATCAGTAACAAAGACTTCATTTATTCCATCAGGCTTTCCATTTGGTCCTGTAATGTCTGCTTCATGTGCTTCCCAATTTGGTCCATGACGTTTGGCATATGCTTGAGCTTCTGGTAATGTTAAAACGTTTCTCATTTGTTTAACATCCTTTTGAAGACCGGCAACAATGTGGACTAATTCTTTCATTCCGTCTGGAACTTTCATAGTTCTATTATATGCACCCTTTTTGTTTGTTCCTTGTTTTAATGGAACCTGTAGAAGATTTGCAATTTCTGTCATGTTTAATTATAAATAAAAAATAAAAATTAATTATAAAAAGTTATTCGAATTTAATGGAACCTTTATTTAAATCAACTATTATTTTTCCATGTTCTCCTAATTGTTGATATTGTGTGTAAAGTTCATTAATGCTCATTGGTAAATTCACTTGATAAAGCATAACGTTCAACTGTTGACGACTAAAACCACTGAAAATGAAAAGTGGACAGGTTTGATTTAATGTTTGTGCTTAATGCTTTAAAGTATTGAACAGCCATAAAGAATGAACACTGAATGTGTCGACATTGAGTTAATAATTGATTAAAATATGATTTCTCATTAGTTATTAGTTTTGATTTCACGGCATCATCTAGAAAAATTAGTGAATGCAAAAATTCTTTATCAAAATTTGAAATAGAAAGTGTTTCAAATAATTCATCCCGTTGTTTATCAATAATTTTATCCTCTAATCCTTGCTTCTTGATTGTATTATATAACTCTTTATACATTAAAAAGTTTTTAAATAATCTTCTGCTTCTTCTTGTGATAAATAAATAATTGGAATTTTTATTAAATGCTTTAAGATTCAAATGTATCATCTGAAGGTGAACCTGAACGGTTGATATAAATTAACACATGAATGGGTGAAGTGTTAGCAATAATGATAATTTGTTTTAATATCGTTAATGTTTTACCTTTATTTTGTTTACCAATTGCTGCAGTGATTGAATTTAAGTAACATTCAGAATATGGAATTTTCATTAATTTTTCCTTAGATAGAGCATTTCTATTATCACTCAATGCTTCATTAATCATATCATCTACGTATGTATTATATACTCCTGCTAATTCTTCATAAGGGGTGGATGAATTTAAATCCATTTAATCAAAAATAAATTTATAATTTTAAACATTTCTATTCATCAATATTTCATCATATGAACTTCTATACTGTGGTGGTGTACCTGTTGGATGATATTTCAAACCTTCATCCGGTGTCCATGTCCAATATGTAGTCCTAGTAAACCAAACCTGAGGAGGATTTGTCACCTTTGAACAG